ATTATTATCTGGTTTGATGTTATGCATTTATTAAGCGTTTGGCAGTGTTCTATACTGATATAGCAATATTACTGCATAACATAGACTTTCATTGCTTAAGTCAGTGCACGATAACATTCGTTCTAGTGTTTAAGTATGACTACTTCATTTTAAGAGCTACCTTAAATTGGAAAAATATGTTAACAATGTATCTGCCGATACGTTAGCTTGCGTTGTTTTTACCAGTGGAAGACTTTGTGGCATCTGGAAAGCAGTTTGCCCATGTACACATTATACCTAGAATATGTGTGTCAAATATAATATGCATCCCTTCTTATCGTAAAGTTAATTTCATACTTTGTACAATTTTGTTCTTTTTCTCTAGAATAATATAAAAGCTAGTGAAGATAATTTAATAAAACTTGAGTTAGGTTGAATCACATATGCGTCGTATACAAATAATGTTTGTGCCAGCTATAACATCATGATTGTATAATTTTAAAGCGATATTCTACATGTTTGTACCATCATCCCATATGACCTTGATATGCATCTCAGGTTAACATCTATTTTTGAAATATTATGAATTATATTTAGAAGAGGAAGCTAACAAAAATTTGTTTTCTTCTTAACACAACGCAGAGTGAAATACAATGTTGTTTTCAATCAAAGAAATCCTATTCTATAATTGACGCATATGATGCAAATAAGAGGAATGAATTATATTTGATGATGTCAATTAAAATATTTGCTTTCTTGGTAACACAAACAGGTTTAAATGCATGTTTGTTTTCATTTAAAAAGTTTCCATACCCTGATAGACTAATATGATGCAAATAAAAGGCTTTTCAAATGCTGGAAACTCCAGAGGGAATATAATACATCACATTTAATTACTGTATATATATATATATATATATATATATATATATATATATATATATATATATATATATATATATATATATATATATATATATATATATATATATATATATATATATATATATATATATATTGGAAGGAGCGTGAGTACTAAAATGTTGAACAGCTTTCTTTCAGATGTCAATTTGTTTTAGTATTTTTCAAGTAAACTTCAAGATAATAAAATGCAGATACAAAACAAAATATAAAACAATAATACAAAATATAAAGAAACTTGGAATTTAAATTAGCGCAACCTTTTTACTTATCAAATTTAACAGATGGTGCTTCGAACCTCTATTTATAATTCTCTTAATCGCACAAGGACTGAAATTCCAGAACCAAACATTCCTATTTAAATAGTTCGCGATGTATAAAATAACAAGATGATTGCATTCTTACAGAATATTCGAATCAAAATCATTGTCTGTAGATTCAGCTCGTCATTTGGCAAAACAGGTTTTTAATTCTGATTTTATTTAACTTAAGTGTTCAATAATACAATGATAAACAGTCTTTACATATTAATGTTGAGATAAATGATACGTATATAATTTTTTTTGGTAACAAGTTAAAAGGTTAGTCACGAACACCCCAAGATAATGTTTCACAAATTTCTTGAATTCTGTATCGCGTATTCATCAAATATTTTGGAAACGTTGCATCCGAGAGAATATCATTTAATGCAAAGAGAAAACCATCTATCCGCCAAATGAATGTACGTTTTAGAACACATAACTCAGCTAAACTTCACAAATTAGCTGCCTGTGAGTACGGAAGACACCGACTGATGTAGAGGCTACGATGTGACATGATTTTGATCGGATTAATCCAATAAATAATATATTTTCTGTAACATAGTACTAGTCCTAGGAGACAAACCATGACTAAAACGTAGTGAAAGGCTAGCAATGTACCCAGTAATTTACTCAGGAAATTACCCTCTTCTGACTTTTGAGTCAGTAGGTACAAGGTCAACGTGAAAAAGATTAAATATCGGAAACGGTTTCGGCAAATCATCTCGAGTTTTGGGGAACTTTCTGGTACAGTATTTAATGAAGTAAATATAATATAAGGTAGTAATATTTTTTCTTTCGTTACTAGATGTTCTTGTAATCTCTTGCCTTGTGAATGATGTTATCTTTCGTCTGACTAAATAAAGAGAGGTTTATACTAGGATAATAATTGTGTTTACCATACGGTTAGGAATAGGTCATTTATGGTGCTCTTGTTCACCTTTAAGATTATAATTGATTCTCTTGACATCAATTGTCACAAACGATATTGGATACTGCAAATCTTGATGCTGTCTCAAAGGTTTGTGCCTGAATAAGTGGCAGGATTGGTGACAGACGTTTCATTTGATTGTATTTATTGTATCGTAAATATAACAGTATTTTTCTAATTCATTACTTTGTTGAAAAATCTAATGCTTATGTTCCATAAGTTTTCTTGGGATCTCTTCCGTTAGGAATGAGGTTATCATGTATCCTGCTAATTCAAGGAGGGTTTACATTAGGGTAATAACTGTGTTTACCATACAGTTAGAAATATATCATGTACGGTGTTCTTGTTCACATTTATGATTGTAATTTATTCTCGTGACAGAAATTGTCACAATCGATATCGGATATTACTAATCTTTATACTGTTTCGATGGTGTCTACCTAAATGTGGGGCAGGGTTGTTAACACGTTTTTATTCTTTTTATAATTTATTGCATCGTAAATATCCCATAACTCTGCAGGATGATGATTTTTTTTATTGAAATATACATTCCAATCACATAAACATTCTCAAGGTAGAACCATGCAAAATCATTATAGGCAATGTTATAATTTTCTATAGGCTTCTCCAACCTTTCATGTTGGCTTTAATGATTTTGTTTAAACAATGATGTTACAATCGTTCAAATTGCCTAAATTGAGAACCCATTTTATGGTCCTAGACTCTCAATGTTATTATAATGAATTAGAATATTTAATGTAGACTCAGTTTCAGGAATAATTCGGCCTATTAAGCCTATTTTATAGATCAGTGCTATTACGCACACGGTCGTAAAAATGAAATATAAGCGATAGGATATTATAGTGATCATGGGATTTATAGCTTCGCTACCTATCTAGTTTCACAACATAATGTTTTATTTCACTTTTGGTTATTGATTTCCCACCTTTCGGTTTAAAAATGAAATATTGTAGTGGACAATGTGAAAGTAAAAGATAGTTATAACAAAGAAAACGAGAACAAAATTATTCATTTTATGCTAGGAAAGGTTTTGTTCAATATGACGATGCAATCGAATGATTCAATTGTTTTAATATATATATATATATATATATATATATATATATATATATATATATATATATATATATATATATTTATATATATATATATATATATATATATATATATATATATATATATATATATATATATATATATATATATATATATGATCTTAAAGCGATATATTAAATAAACACGTAATTGGTTTGGTTTTTTGTAACAAAAATTATTGTCGATCATTATTTCGAATAGACGTTAATCCTGGTGTATATGTACTTCTGTTTGCTGGTCTTGTCCTAATTGTCTCCGAGCAAGAAAGTGAGAGAGAGAGAGAAACTGAAAGAGAGAATGAGAGAGAGAAAGCTACAAGATTTGATGAAATTTTTCCATAACTCTTTCAAGTAGTATCACATTCATAATCATTTTAAGTATTGAAACCTCGTCTGTCCTTAAAATATAAAAAAATCTGCCAACTTAATGTATCCTGTTGACAAATAAGGACATGAAACAAGTACGACATACATACATACATACATACATACATACATACATACATACATACATACATACATACATACATGCATGCATGCATGCATGCATACATACATACATACATACATACATACATACATACATACATACATACATACATACATACATACATACATACATACATACATACATACATACATACATACATACATACATACATACATACATACATACAGACAGACAGACAGACATTGAGACAGACGTACATACATACATACATACATGCGTACGTACGTACGTACCTACGTACGTACGTAAACTGATAATGAATTGCAAAAGTATCAAACGGCATACGCCTAGCTTATCCGATTTTGTTTGAGTTTGATGTTAAGCCGGTGTATGTGGTCCTTTTTTATGTTGCAATAGCAACCATTTGCATAACAGTAACTGTTTTGTATCACATCTATAGTAGCTTTGGTTTAATCTTGACATTTTTCTCTTACAATTTGGAAGGCCAGTGACTTTTCTGTTTTCATATAAAATTTAGACCACCATTGCCTCAGTGTTTTTTTCGAAAATTTGAGGGTCATTCTCCCAGGAATTCTAATGATAAAGGTTGACGAGTAGTGACCATGAATGGAACAGGTCACATTTGAAGGGCCAGTACCCCATCCGTTTTCATATTTTGACAACTTTTGCCACATCGTCAATAAACATTTCTAACCATTTTCCTAGATTTTTCATTCATTTCTGGAGGCTTAAAGCTTTGGTTAATCTTGACATTTTGCAAAACAGTTTGAGTAGTAATTTTAAATGAAAGCATGATGACAGGCGTTCAAGTCTTTAATAACTTTTGAAGGATACGAGGGGAATGGCTGAAGTTCCCCTCACCTACAACTCTTGAAGTAATCGTTAAAATTAAGTTATATTTCGATTTTTGACGAACTAAATGTTGACATAGTAGAAGAAATGAAGATGTGTATATTTTACAGATCTGTATTTGTTTAGATTGCATTTCAATAGGTATCAATCATTTAGAGAAATATCTTACATACTTTTGCCGGAATGGATGTAAAGGTGAGACTTTTAAATGTACACATATGGACAATGTGTTCTAAAGCCTCCAAAAACAACAAAATTGAGATATAAACATTCATTGGTTCAAGAAATGGGCATCGTTCTTTTGCTGCTAATTTCATCACCAATTTCATCTACTTATTTCGTTTATACCGATTTTGAAGATAGATATTGAATACACAATGCGTGGTTGCTAATCTTTGTACAATTGCAACCATGTGAAATCAAAACTAACCACTCCAGTGGCCTAGTGGTTAGAGCATCCGTCTCGGATGCGGGAGGTCTTGGGTTCAAATCCCGTCCGAGTAATACAAAATACTTTAAAAACTGGTGCTAACAAGTACCTCCCTTTGCGCTCAGCATTAAAAGGTGAGTGTTAGGACTGAATGGCTTGGTGTGAGGATGATGTGACTGAGTGGTACATCATGACATATATCTGCGGCATGATCCCTGTGCTAGATGTCCCTATAACATTGACACACTGCAGAAATCGTACCGATATTACTAAAACAATTGTTAAAGTTACGTTAAAATCTAGATCACCCAACATTAAAATCAATCCATTTTATCCTGGGAAGCTTAAAGAGTTAATCACAATTATCGAAGTTTATACGTATATGTTAATATATATCAAATAGTAGAGGTCATTGGTTCCTAGTAGATGTAATAGTTAAGACTTAAATAAGAAGCCAGGTTGTATAACGAGAATAACCCGTCTGTATGTGTAATTTGTGAGCTATAGGACCTGGATTAAGTGACATAACTATTTATTAATTATATGTTAAAACAAGATTTAAACATAATTTACTGTGATCTGGAAACAAGAAAAGATATTAAAAACACTCATGAATTAAAACGTAGAGGAATATATGTTAAAATATTATAAAAATTAGTAATAATGAAAAGTATACATTACATTTTAGGAAATTGTTACGCTTTTCTTTATCAGTAGAAAAAAATGATTATGGACTATACCACAAGTCCAGTAGGCAGAAATCACAAATGGAAAACAAAACAACAGAAACAAAAATACAAATAACCAGGCAATAAAAAGGCAAAACCTTTATTTAGGACTGATTCACTCATTCAACCGCGACAAAATTATATATTGTAATATCTTGACAGTTATATTACATTACATAAAGTATAGAGAATCAACTTGGCGTTCTTGATCCATATAGACAAAGATCAGGAAATGTATGGGAATAAAAGAGGATGGAAAATCCAATATTTAAGCAGGCCTTTTCTTGAGTGAGTTCAATATTACTGGCTTCAATACATACTTTCACTTGCTTGATTGGTAGCTCAATTGGTTCGCACAATTTAAAATACTTTGCTAGATAAAACAAAAAGAAGACAGTGCAAAATATGTGCAATAAAGAATTCTAAGAAATGTTAGAAAAGGAGAAACTGCAGTTTGCCCAAAATCATAAATGTCTCCTAACTAAATCAGAACAAGGCAATCTGAAAAGCGAACATAGCTTAAGTTATTTATCCTCTCTCTCTCTCTCTCTCTCTCTCTCTCTCTCTCTCTCTCTCTCTCTCTCTCTCTCTCTCTCTCTCTCTCTCTCTCTCTCTCTCCATGCATGCATGCATACATACATACATACATACATACGTGCATACATACATACAATATATGCGACTGCGGACATCTCCGTTTAGAGGAAGAATGGAGAAATAAATAGGATTTTAAAACTATATTCACTAAATAAACAATTAATGAAACGGTGCTTATTTCCAACAATTAATATTCAAGTTTGGATACCTAGTCTGGCCATTAATTGTTATCGGACTGAAAACTAAGATTGTTTTCCGCATTCGGTAAGTACTAGAATTTAGTTTATGGTTTGCAAAGAAAACGGGCATGGTAGATAATAACAGTTATAAACCTCTCGAAAAGCAATTCTTTAAAATTATATATGCGAAATGTTTGACTTACTCGATATTTTCTCATCGACCAACGTAAATCCCAGGATTTCGACATAAAAGAAGAGTCCGATGTTTACTGAATCATAGCCCGCTGATACGTTTACTGCAGTAAAGCCGAGTAAACAATAAATTTATATTATTGGCTTAGGTATCTATAATTGTATTTTTCTAACTCTTTTCTTTGTTGAAAAATCTATTGCTTTTGGAACATTGGCTCTGATATAGTTTCATGTAGGACACTGTTTGCCGAAGAACAACTGTTAAGTTTAAGCGAAGTTGTTTTTCAATCCTCTGCCAAACATTTTATATCGTAAAAGTTATGTGATCATCGTTCTTTTATAATGTCACTATATATGAGTTAATGAAACAAAATTGTGCAAAATAAATGATTTAGTAGTGACAACTGAATATAAGGAATATCTATTGGAACATACCTAATGCTACACATTGGCAATAGTTTGTGGTTATTTAAACAAACATCCTTTTGTAAAGTTGATCTATGAAATGAGCAAGTAAGAAAAGAGTATATTATTTATGTAATCATTCAACATACAGTACGATAGTTATCCTAACGTCCATTTCTCGGTAAGACATAATTTTATTCAAGGCGTGTACTATAATAATTGATGAACTCGGAACAGGTCTTCATAATATGCGTTGCAACATATAGTTTTACAAAGGTAATTAGTTTAGTTGTGATGCAACAACAATGAGAGAATGCGATATACAAGTCTTGACGATTGCAATAGCACTTAAAAAACAAAACAATTACTTCGTGGACCTGCTGAATTATTCTGACATAAAAGGGTTTCTAATACGCTTTGTCTATAATTTCAGTACTGATAAATAAATAGTACAATCGAATGTCCCATTTGCTAGAGAAAAATTAATATAACTACATTAGTATGATAATATACATTATTAAACTTATTTAAAACCGTAGAATATGGAAAATATTCTTTAGTATATGGCCCAATAAAAACAGATAAAGAAAGTTAGAACCTTTCTTAAAATGGAAATTAGATAAATAAAGAAATTTAAGTAAACACACTTACAGCCTAACTGGGTGATGATTATGTTGCACTGGAGGTCATGGCATTTTACAAATCCGCCAAGGTCAAACTTGAGAGACATTAATTCCGGAATGAACTGCGCTGCTTCACGAGCTATAGCTTCCGGAATTTTATGGATGGCAAGAAAAAGATCCTCAAGTTCACCAATGGGATCAATAGGGTGCACAACCTTGAATTTTTTATTGTAATTACCAGAATGACCATGTCTCAGATACTGAATCAAGTGCGCAATTCCTAACGGTGGAACAAAAAAGTCAAGGGCAGTAAATTGACGCTGAAGTTTGTCATGAATTGGACTAGTTCCAATTGCGTTTTTGCTATATTGACTTTTAAGATCGCTGGCATCGCCGTTTAGTTGTGCAAAGTATGTTGACACTGCCAGGGCATTGCTTCCCTCTGGAAAATAAATCAATATGCATATGTAGTGCGAATTATGAACAAACTGTAGGTTGTTCCTACCAATATTACAATCATATAAATGGAAACACTTATTACTTTAAAGGACATAATCCTTCTTACATTAATAAATATTATATTTAAAGATTAATAAGTTTACGCAATGTAGGTTGCTTGTTAGCGATATAGTTTCACAAGTGCTTGTCGGAGCAGGAGTAGTTCAAAATTTAAAACTGTAATGATTATGATGTATAAACAATCTGTTGCGTATAAGGATAAATGTGCTCTTACATAGATCTAATTATATTTTATGTGTGCTAGGCTAAAAAGTTGTTATTTTACTTTTGTTTCATTCCATTTTTTTGTAATGACTATTGCAAGGATTCAAAATTCGTTTACAGTAATTTAGTTTATCTAAGACGCAAAAGATATTACATTAGCTATAATTTTAGATTACCTTGGTCCGCGGAGGTGTAATCGCTACGCGAAAACCATTGGCTTTTGTCAAGGTCATTTCGTCTTGTCTGAATAAACAATGTTTCATTTGTGTAGTGATAGTAGATAAGTGTTATTCATGCGTGACGAATAATATTGTCTTACTACTAATCTCAAGTGTTATGAGACCACTATTATCTATCTCGCAAGAACGTAATGATAGGTTAAGTGAATATATAACACTTCCTGGGCGCTCGGAAGTCAATTGTATATATATATATATATATATATATATATATATATATATATATATATATATATATTGTGACATATCTCTCTATCTGTATATATATATATATATATATATATATATATATATATATATATATATATATATATATATATATAGTGCCTACAAGGCCGAATAAGTGATTTTACTGTTGAAACCAGATTCTTCTTTGACGTTCATTCTTTTATAGGAATTAATAATTTATTCTCTAGAAAATCAAACGAGTGTACTGTTTAAAAATTCTGGGAGAAAGAAATTTAGTGGAAATTTATTCTGGAATAATTCGGAAATATAAACTGTGATTCATTAGAGGAATTGTTGATATTTTGTGTAAGGATCACATCTGATGTCATCACCTTCCATATTGGAACGTCCTCGATGTTTGAACATGTATTCTAATAGAACTATTAAGTGACAAGACTTGTACTTTGTATTCTTAGGATTAAATTTGTGATTATGATCACAAACTATAATTCCCATTTTCAAAGTATTACATGTTCTAGGGAATAATGTTTGACATGGTTTGGGGAAATAAAGCTTTTGTTAAAATGTATAAAGGTAGTTGTCTTTACTCTTTTGTCTTGTTATTATCGTACGTGCCACCAAGTAATACCCTTAAGTAAAGAAAAAAGAAAATATGAACATCTTACCGTTTTTAAGTCCGTTATAATTTTCTAGTTCATGTTCAAATAATGAGGATCCTTGTACGATCACCAGGCTGATCATAAAGACAAAATTCTTCATTCTGGTACCTGTAGAAGTATACATAACTCCATGGATTTGGCAGCATATCCAATTTTGAAATTATTAAACCATCCGATATAATGAAATATTTTCCCTGCACATTGTCCTACTTGTTGTAGCCCTGTATCATTAATATTTGCATTAATGATTTTCCTAATTTAACTGTATATACCAGTTTTTTAATGAAAGATTCACAAATGTCATAATTCTTAAATGTTGCTTTTATTGGAAAACGTATTCTTCATAGTTAGCCTAGACAATGGATACAAAACCTCCGTTTCTTTTGCTGCCTATCATTCCAAGGAAATTACGAAGGTCAAAGATCAACCAAAATCCTATTCTTCGGTTAAGAAGGATATATTATGATGGACAGACAGACAGAACAATCACTATCGATTTCAACAACAGTAGTCCAGGCACCTTGCAAATAAAATTTCTT